TCGCCTTGAACCCACTTGATGAAATACCCCATCGACTTCAACGACCGTGGTAGTCCTCTTTCGTCCAAAATGGTCAACCCCTGATGGAGGCGCGCCTCGGAAACATACTCGTCCACGAACGCCTGGATCGACTGGACGACATCCGGATGGGTTGCGGCTGCCTTTGTCTTGCCATTTCCAATTGTGGGGCCAGGGTTGGCATGCAATTCGCCCTTCACTTTGAACTTTAGGTTGGTGTAGCCAGCGGTGACACAGTTCCACACGATACCTTCCCCGACCCCCGTCACACCAAAGCACTTTGCCGCTGGACATTCGGCTTCCACGAGCGCTGTAACGACGTCACTCCAGTGGCGTCATAGGGTTATCGACCAATCAGAACAGACGTCACTGTTGACGTCAGTTTACGACCAAGCTCGATTGGCGTGCGGCGTGCTCGGCCATGGACACCAGAAGTTTGCAGAGCGCACGTATATATAGCATTAGATATAGTATAGTCACAGTAGTCATGCATGTAGATGTAGATAACGCCAATCAATCAGTTTTACAATTTCCTCTGCGTTATCAACTCCCTACAAGCGCCGTGAGCCGCTCCAATTCCGGTTGCGACGATTCGGGCAAGTTGAAGTCAATGTCGATTGTCCAGCCGCCAAACGTGTGAATGTGATAAATGCGCGCCGGTTCGTTTTCAACTACAATGCGGGGCAGCGCCGTCATGTTCACCCATTTGTGGTCCACAGACGCTGCAAACACCACAAACATCTTGGGGAGTTGGGCCAGTGCCACACCGCTCTGAATGGTATCGCCGCACCACTCCCCAAACACAGCCACCACGGGGGAAGCATCGTCGGGGCTGGCTCCCCCTGCCACCAAGATTTCACTCTTCAATCGAGCCACGTGCTCGGAATGCTTAGTCATATGGGCGACAAAGCCCGCAAAGTTGCTGGTACGCGAAAGCACGCAATTTCTGGATTGAAATTGTGTGGTTCCGTCGGGCAAGTAGACGATGCCCGTATTCGAACCGTGGAGTTTGACTGTTCCGTGAAAGGTCAACGTTGGCTTGTCCACTCTGTCGTCGTAGATTGGCCTGTCCATGTTCGTGTTGTGGCCAACATACGTGGCAACACGACGGACGTTGTCGATTGCATGTCGAAATTTCTCAATTGATGGGAACGCGACCACAGACATACTTATCAATGGCACAGCAATATGGATTGTGGCACATTATTGTAAGAAATGAAAACGATATTGGAGAGACCATAATTTTGCAGGTGGCCTTTCGCGCGATAAATGAAGGTCTTGGTCAAGGAACCTTACATTTAGACGAAGTATCTGTAGCGAAAACAATGACATATAACGTTATGCAAAGTTTGGGAAGTTTGGTGTTGAAAGTGCTAACTGGGCAGTCTGACAGTGAAACCAACGTGGTCAGCGATTGCTTGGTTTCATTTTTGGCCAATAAGATACGACGCAGACTATTGGTACTAACTTACTGTTAGTAATATGTTTATTTCCGGTCGGCCATCCCATTCGTCAGCTGATTGGCTATACTCATACTTCTTTGATCAAGAATTACTGTATATGATTTGTTAAGTGGGAACTTTTGAACCCCCCACAAATTTGTAATTTTGCTGTATATGTTTATGCAAGAACCTGTCTGGGTTGAAATACCTACAAGATGTAATATATATCGAGTTTGGAAGAACGCAACACGCGGGAAGTTCCCACTCATTGCACGAAATGGCGCGGACTGCCCATCGCAAGGCCACAGGACGCCCTTCGGTCAAGAACACCATTCGCAATAAGCCATCGTACAGAACCAAAACATATTCGGTCCTCAACAGGCTGTGCGTCATCAACGCAGCTCGAAATGACTCCTACAACTCTGCATTGCACACGAACTTCCCGGGACTCACTGGAACGCCACGCAAGACAGCGTGGAAGCGCATTTACCGCTGGGAGCAGAATCGTGCCGTTCTCGAGGCAGTGGCAGCCGAACCATCCCAGCAACACAAGAAGTCCTTGCGGCCTGCTGGTACTTCTTCGACTCTTGATGTGGCCGCAGAAGAAGGCTTGGCGGCATGGGTCAACGAGCTGCGCAGCGAAGGGATCCCGGTGACCAATCTGCTTCTCCAGCTAAGAGCACTCGAAGTTGCCCACGACGTTGGGTTGAGAGCGATCCAGTTCAAGGCGAGTCCTTCATGGATCAATGGCTTCATGAAGCGGTAGCGCTTTTCCATGCATTCCAAGAGTCGCTCCGGTCAGGCGGACTTGGCGCAAGGACAAGTTGTGCTCGAAGCATTTGGCTCTCGAGTTCGTGCACTGGTTCTTGAACACGGAATCGAGTCCATCTACAATGCCGATCAAACTGGAATCAACTACGAGTACATACCAAAGAAAACAATTGACAGCCTCGGCGCAAAGACAGTGTGGATCAAGGGCTCCGGACATGACAAGGACCGCCTATCCGCCATGCTGTTAGCCGATTCAAACGGTGTGAAATACCCATTGTTTCTGGTTCTCAAGACTGGCGTCTCGCGAATCAAGGGAGTCGTCCAAGACAACCTGAAGCACTGGAACTGCTTTGGCTGCCATGTGTGGGAAGACATCGAAGAGCTCCACGAACGGCATCCATCCAGGATATGGTGGAATAGTCTTATTTCCATCAAGTTTTTGACGTACCATTTCGGCTACCGACGGGGAACTGAATGCAAGCCAGTACTCTTGCTTTGGGATGCGTTCAGCGCGCATTCAACACCGGACGTCCTCGTGTTGGCCAGTGAGCTCAACGTGCTCTTGGAGACAATCCCACCTACGTTTACATGGATATGTCAACCAGCTGATGTTGCTTGGATGCGGCCAATGAAGGCGGCACTCCGTCATCGATGGATCGAGCATTTACGTACCGAAGTCAACAACCACGACGGTGGCCCATTCAAGCTCACTCCTCCTGACCGGTTCGACATCGTTGAGTGGGTCAACACGGCCTGGGATTCCCTATCCAAGAAGACAATCATCAATGGTTTTCGTAAGTGCAACATTGTGGATACCCCAATTTAACACGAAAGTACTGGCGATGCCGATGTCGATCTTGATGCAGTTGGGGCAGCATCCGTGCTCGACGCAATTCGCCACCTTGGCGCCATGGAACTGGCGGAGCTTGATCCTGCCTTGGACGTGGAAGTTGCACTAGAAGATTTACACAATGTTAGTTAAAACTGGTATTGAGTACACCCAAAAAGTATGATTCGTTAACCTTGATGTTGAATGGTGTGACTTGGTGCAACCCTTCGTGTGAATGTCGTGAGTTCAGGGACTCATCGGAATACCAAGGCCGGGGTGCGCGAGCCGGTATCCGGCCCAAAAATACCAATAGGCTAGGCCCGAAGGCGGTCCCAAAGGCTAATAGGAGCTCGGGCCATTTGACTCGGCACCCCATAATGACCGAAATCCGTACAGTAATGCCAATTCACAGACACACGAAGAGTTGCAACCGTTACCTGGTTGGGGATATCGGGATGTTGGGGCCATAGAAAATTTGAAAATGGACTTTCAGAATGATGTGAAAACTCCCTTTGATATTTTATGACTTCAATTTTGATTGACACCATCAATCATTTTGACTTGTAGAGAATTTCATTTTATGATTGATGTTGAGTATGGTGTAATTCGAATTCGTTTGAACTGCAAGATGGCATCAACTTCTAAACTAAATGCCATACATTTCCCAAGTCTGCCAAGTATCCCAGCAATTCATCCTGAATTTATATACCCTCTTTAATTTGGTACTTCTAGGCTTTGACATGACATTCAATTATGGAGGTTATTCTGATTTCCTACTTGCCCTCATGTCTCAGAAGTTCCCACTTAACAAATCACATACAGTAGCAAATTCGACAAAATTACTACTAATATGGTGCAAGTCACCTAAAGACTACAAATAAATGCCTTGACTTTCGACAGCTATTCCAACTTTGTATTGATATTATTTAGGAAAATATACCGTAATAACGATAGAACTGGACAAGCCCAACAGAATTTACGGTTCAGATTTTCGATTGGTGAACGAGTAATATAATTTAAACAAACCGGCCTTTTTGTTATAGAATTTGAACAAACCGGCCTTTTTGTACGGAGATATATGGAAGGAACCAGGTACATTTTGGCCGAAAAGGAGTATCAAGTATATCTTGGTCTTTGTATACAGCACTTATCCGTACGAACGTTTTCATTGTATCCGGATTATTCACAATGTTTAACCTAATTTCCAGGTAAACAACGTAACTACTAATGATTTAACGTCAACATTTCGTGGGTTTAACTGAAAGAACCGAGGCGTTTAATAGTAAAACGTCTCCTCTTCACCTTGCGCTCCATACAATATTGCCTATTTCACCTTGCTTTTTCTGGTTAATGGCTATTCTATCCTGAGGATGGCCGATCTGTAGTCTTCAGATGACTTGCACCATACCGTTGAAAATTGCATCTTCAAGATGAGCGTTCAAGCCCCTTGAACGTCGTCATAGGTTCGACATCAACCAAGAGAAATTGTACCCCAGAGAGCATCTCTTACATTGCAGTGCAATCTCAGGTAGTTATGATCCAGTCTACCGATTGAACATTCTTGGTTTTGAACGTATTCAACCATGTAATGTCTTTACCGATTACAATCCGTTCACAGGGTCATTCTGCTATTGCGCTCGAGCCGGCTACCCCTCATGGACCCCATCTCCACCACGTATCAGGTCGTGGAGGTTTCGTCAGCCACCACTGCCTCCTCTCTCCAGTCTGCCAGTTCCAGCCGCCATCGTGCCATCAACTCTGGCACACTCGTTCGCTTCAGACAAGTCCTCGTTGCCGTTTGCATGATGCTAATGGGGTTGACTCCGTTCGCGTACTTTCATCCAGCGTACGACCGTTGGATTTCGTCGGCGCTCATTCGAGCATGGGGGGGGATTCCAGCCCTGGTCAGTCGAACCAAAACCAGCGGTCACTCGGAAATGGCCATGCCCACCTACTTTGTGTGTGGCATGGCCTTCCCGTTGTTGATCGGAGCTGCCATCTTTGCCGGTATGGAGCATCACAATCCCCCGTTGTCGACGCTACTTTCTCGATGGCTCCAGCGCAAACCCAAAGCATTCGGGCATGCCGTCAGCAACGGCGAAGTGCTTTTTCTCATGATTTGGCTCGGCGGAAACGTCGCTGTGTTTGGCTACCAATGGGCCAAGCGGTACAAGCCCCAAGATGCCAGCGTCGGCCACGTCCTCGAAGTCGTCGCGCTGAATCTGGCGTTCAATGGCTTGTTCAATATGGTACGACCTTGACTGTACACTTTAAACAACGGACCTATAATCATTTGTTGGCTTTGTAGTCTGTCTTGGCGCTACCCGCCACGCGCCATAGCTTTTGGATGCAATTTCTGCACATATCGTACGCCCACGGCATCAAGTACCATCGATGGCTTGGAGTTGCCACCATCGTGGCCTTTACTGGTCACATGTGTCACTACGTCGCTCTGTTTGCCGTCCGGAACAGCTTGTCTCTGTTGCTCCCGTGTTTTAGCTGCAACGTGGCTACCGACGGCTACCTTCAGTGGACCATAACGTTTGGGGGGTTGGCGTACGTGTGCTTTGTTGGGATGGCTGTCACGTCAGTTCCCTACATCCGTCGACATCACTACGCCGTGTTCCGCTCTGCGCACTGGCTGTTCTTGCCTGCCACCGTCTTTGCGGTACTGCATTGGGGTCCAATCCTAAACTGGCTGTTCGCGTCCATGGTGGTGTACCTTGCAAACCGATGGCTGTCGTCATCGAGCAACCACCCCGTTCAAGTTGAAGTTGCTGGCGTGTTCCCATCCATTCAAACTTGCCACGTCACATTGCACTGTACGACACCATACGCCCCTGGCGACGTCGTGTGGTTGAACGTGCCCACTGTGAGTCCGACCCAGTGGCATCCGTTCAGCGTTGCGTCCACACCCGTTCACACCCCCGGGCTGCTCACAGTGTTTGTGAGAAACGTGGGGCCGTGGACGAGCAACTTGTACGCGTACATTCAAGACTGCACTGCAGCCAAGGTCGATCCGATCGTGTATGTGGATATGCCGACAATATCCGTCCTCGAGCCAGCAACTTTGCTGAGCTCGAGCGTAGTGTTTGTGGGCGGTGGCATCGGCATCACCCCCCTGATGGGCCAGCTCTTGCATGTGTTGCATTCTCCTCAACAACGTCCTGGCCAAATCGTGTGGCTACTGTGGCACGTTCCAGATGTGTCGATGCTGTGGTGCTTTCAATCGTGGCTCCAAGACATCGAAGCGTTGGCAGCCAAACATGGCACACGACTGCACATTCGCCTGCATGTCACCCAAGAGTGCGAGATGGGGGCAATGCATAATGATGACGAAGGCGATGTAGCGAGTATGATGATGGTGGACGAGTCCATGGCCACCTTTCTGCAAGGCGAAGCGCAGCGGATGCAGGGCGTCCACCCAAGGCCGTACGTACACGTAAACCGATACCAGCAGATTTGGGTATTGGCGGTGGCCGTGGTGTGCAGTGGGGGGCTGGTTGCAAGCGTCAAGTACGGCAACGTTATCTCAAAGACGTTGAACCCGTCGTGGTGGCCGCTGCAGAGATTCATCGAGTATGTTTTGGTGGTGCTGGGCAGTTTGGTTGCCCTTGGGCTTGCAAAGTTGTGGGGTCGACGTGATGCTGTGCCCAATATCGTGTGCCAACTGGACGATGCTGCCACCAAGTCGACAAGTAAAACCGACGTGGAAGCGTTGGTGTTGCATCACAACGTCCAGCGAGGCCGCGTCGTGTGGCCAGACTTCGTCCAAGAGATACTTCAAGGGCAAAGTGCCCTTTCGTCTGCCAGTATTGGCGTATTTGTGTCTGGTCCGTCAGCCTTGCAGCGAGCGGTGGACTTGCATTTCCAGCCCCATCCTTTGTTTCACGTGCACGCAGAAGAGTTTGAAATGTAGGGACAGTTGTAGTCTGTGAATAGAACTTGTCACAGTCATAGAAGGTCTTGTCGTGCAATTGCAAGTTGAACGGAGCAAGTGAACCTAACGTTACTCTACTGTATGTTAAGGTTGAATCTCACAGAACGGTTCATGGTGCAGCAGTTTATTCCAGGCAAAGAAAGTGCTCCTCAGTACTACTTATCAACTTGTGTACAGGTAAATGACTATAGAACATACAGTGTACGAGGCAGCAACGTGACGCAAAGGAAGTGATGCGGGAGGATGCTGAGGATCTATGCGACAAGCATGGAGATTGCACGCACCCCTGTCGCATATATGCCGTCGACATTGACATGACCGAATTTGAATTCACCAGGTCGGAACCTCACGTGACATTCCGGAGTACATTCCATTTCGTAAAGGAAAATGAATGGCGTTTTGATGTGAGTCGCATTGCGAAGACATGGTTATTTGCAGTCTTATCTAAAAAGCGCTGTCTTTAACTCCCAAGAATTGATGACGACATCGAGCGCAATCGTTGGTTTCGGCGTCGGACGAATTCGTGCCAGTTTGTCAAGATGCGCACTGTGATCTTCAACGTTTGTATATCTGGTGCGTGTGTTTATGTCTTGGGAGCCACATCTGTTGCATGACGGCTTCAGACTAACTACCCATCCTCCAATACATACTCGAAGCATTACACTATCCATCTATTACAGCAGTACTACAGTAGTAGTACACACTTCACGTGTCCAACCCCCATGTCGACATGCTCCGCGCGTCTGACGAGGCACTGGCAGTGCACTCCCGTGCCCAAATCTCCCGGCCAAATCGCCGCCGAGCAGCATTTGCTGTGTCTGCCATGGTTTCACGGTCACTACATAGTCCTGTCGACTCGAATTCGATTCAACCGGTGGATTTTGTTTGGCGCGGCGTTCGTGAGCCAATTCTGCGTCGGGTCGCTGTACGCATGGTCCATCTACAACATCCCCATGGACACCTATATCTTCGGCAACCCGAACGAGGAGAAGGCCGTGTATACGTTCTACATGGCGTGCGTATCGCTCGGCAGTGCCGCGACCATCGTCGGGCCCTGGCTGGAGCGAAACGGACCCAAGTGTGGGCTGCTGCTGGGCACGTCGTGCTTCCTTGTGGGGTACATGGTGGCCACGATCTCGCTCTATTTTAAATCCATCGCCGGCGTATATGTGGGCTACGGGGTCATTGCTGGCTTTGGCATTGGCGTCAACTACATCACCCCCGCGTCTGCACTCATCAAATGGTTCCCAGACATGAGGGGAACCGCCGCTGGGTTTGCCGTCGGCGGATTCGGCGCGAGCTCCCTTCTCTGGAGCAAAGTGTACTTGCCGGCCATCGACGCCATGGGCCTCCCAGCGTCGTTCCTGTGTCTCGGAGGCATCATGTCGTGCATCATGTTTGCATGTGCCCTTGTCATGCGCACTCCCCCGCCAGGGTATTCCGTCGGGGGGCTCAACATGCACGGCATGACCGCCGCGGACCCCTCCGCCTCCCCCCACGTGAACCCAGACGACGCCCCCCCATCTTCGCCCCACACGGCCATCTTTGAACTCGAAGCCGATGCCCACCGTCCTCACGGCGATCTACTGGACGAAGACGAAGATGCCCATCAAGTGTGGCTCAAGCAGATCAAAGCCACGAGCCTGCTCGACAGTTTGTTTTCGGTAGACTTTGCATGCATCCACATCACGTTGCTGGGCAACATCGTGCTCGGCCTTGTCGTGCTCTCGCGCATGTCGTCGATGGCCACGATCATCTTCCACCAATCCAAAGACCAGGCGGCCACTCTCGTGTCCATCAACGGGCTCTTCACCTGCTCTGGCCAGATTTTGGTCCCGATGCTCTCGGACGTTCTCGTCCGGCGGTGGCACCTCCGTCCGCCATTTGCTCGCAAGTGCATCTTTGTCGGTACCCTCGTGGCCCAGCTCGGGATTGTCGCCACCTTGCCGTATACATTACGCACTGAAAACTTCACTGCGTTTCGAGTCCAAGTGTGGGTACTCCTCGTGTGTTATGGCGGCGCCTTTGGCACCGTCGCAGCCTTCTTGACAGACATGTTTGGCGCCCATAACATTGGTGGCCTTCACGGATGCGTGCTCACCGCGTGGTCCCTCGCGGGGCTCGTCGGCGGCCTCGGCTTTACCCTTCACTTTAACCACCTCGTGAACGATCTGCATCTGCCCCTTGTGGACGCATACGTGGAGAATTTGTACTGGGTCGCTGGCGTCGTTGTCGTCGGCTTGCTTGCCGTCCTGGCTGTGCGCACCAGTGCCAAAGATCGGTTTGCACCCGGCTATCAATACAGTATTTGTGGCACGCCTATCGTACGCGTTGGCCACAAGAATCTGCCGCCGCGTTAAGGTGACCCCACTCAAGGTGCTGGCCCAGCCAGCTTCACAGGACCCAATACCTTGATTATAATCCCATCACCGATGGGTTTGCTTACATCTTAGTTGATCCAAAGCACAAGACATGGGATTATGTATGCATAGGTGCGACCGTTTGCATCCCCGGAATATGAACTTGTTCGAATTCGGTGTGAAAATTGTCAGTAATCGCGCTAAATATAATTTCCGCACAACCTAAAAACAGCGTCCTGCTCTATGGGACTCAAGAATCCTGCAACATCCTGTAGATACTGAAAGATATCACAGCGTTGCGTATTGATTGCTCGAAAGAAGTCGATTGATTGTTTCCGAATACTACCATATACTGGAATTCCTTGACGTCAACATCAGTTGCCAAGTCGGTTGCGCCTACAACCAAAACCCACGACAAGTAAGAGCAGAAATAAGCTCGGGGCTCTCTGTTGTTCTACGGCGTCGTGTGCCGTTCAACTTCCACTTCCAGCAGCCAACATACAAAAGTTGTTACATCGCCCGATTGGCAGAACGCGATCTAAAAATAGATTTTTGTGGCGGTTTCACTTTTCCACGAATCAGACTGCAAGGAATCCACCCACAACCTTCGACATTGAGGATTTTGCGAGCGTCCATACACATCATTATTTCAATGCAAGACGCACATATGATCGAGTTTATCCCCCAAGCAGTGTACTACACGTGGTTTCCCGAAGGCCACGCGCCTCGCTCCACGGCAGACGTCACGTACTTCTGCGTGGACCGGCAGCTGCTGTACACCAACTTTTATCTGGACTTTGGACCGTTGAATCTTGGCCACACGTTCGTTTTCAGCCAAGTGCTCAACCACGAACTGGCACGAGTGAAACCATTGGGCAAGAAGCTCGTGTTCTACTCATCCGCGGATGGCAAGCGCAAGGCGAATGCGATTTGCATCTTGGCCTGTTGGGGTATCCTCTTCAACCACATGACCGCCGACCAAGCGTACGCCCCGTTCCACACCGTCACACAGTCGCTGCCTCCATTTCACGACGCGACGCCGTCCATTTGCTTGTTCAAACTCTCCGTCTTGGACTGCCTTCGCGGCCTTGAAAAGGCAGTGCGGTTTCGCTTTGTCGACACTGCCACGTTCAACGTGGACGACTACCAGCATTACGAGCAAGTCGAGCACGGCGACCTCAACTGGCTCTCCCCCAAGTTCATTGCGTTCGCCGGCCCACACGACGTGTACCGCCACACCGCCGAGGGCTTCATCTCGCTCACCCCCGAGCACTACGTCCCGTACTTCAAATCGCACAATGTTACGCTGGTTATCCGGCTCAATGAAAAACTATACGACGAGTCGCGGTTCAAGGCCGCGGGCATCGACCACCTCGACTTGTATTATCCGGACGGCGCCAATCCCCCCGACGAGATCCTCCATCGGTTTCTTACGGCTTGCGAGGCCACGACCGGTGCCGTGGCGGTGCACTGCAAGGCTGGACTTGGGCGAACCGGAACCTGCATTGGCGCGTACTTGATGAAGCATTACCACTTTACAGCCAAAGAGTGCATTGGGTGGCTGCGGCTATGTCGGGCGGGCAGTGTCATCGGCCCCCAACAACAGTTTATGGAAGCGATTGAACCCCGCATGTGGAGCTACAAGACGACCATCAATCGTGATGACGTGGCATCGTCAGAGAGACCACGCCACAGTGGAGAGCTGCAGAGTTCCCCGAGCAAGCCCATACAGTCTACCCTTAGGATTCTCAAGCCCTCTGCCACCCCCATCACCACCATGTCTGGGAAATCGCTGCTCAAACATAACATGGCGCTGCCCCCGAAACTCGTCCCGGCGTCGTCGTCGGTTCTGCATCTCCCCCCAACCTCCCCCAACAAAGCCACAGCCTTAAAAGCTACTTTGAGACTCAATCTGTCCTTCCAAAGCCCCAAGCCCATGTCATTGTCCCCGACCAAACAAGCACAAAGCGCTTCGGAAGGCAGCCCGATTGTCGAATCCCCCAAAACCCAGGGGGACAACCTGCGCGAACTCAAGCACACTTGGGCGAAAAGTCCTACCCACAAGAGTCCCACTCATGCCGCCGTTACGAGCAGCAGCTTTGGCGACCACAGCCCTGAATAAGTCTGCACATAACTATTACCTTCTTATGGTTTCGTTATGCATCACTGTATTTACAGCCATCGTGAAGTGCAGTGTTATTAATACCTGTAAATAGACCTTGGGAACAACCACAGAATGATGCGTCTTTGGACGTACTGTACATTCCGGTGGATAGTTCCTTTAACGTTAAGCTTAACGTTAGCTTACTTACTAACCACAAATTAGATAAATTAGACATGATTTCACAATTGAGAAAAACGCCAATATTGTCGATTTCGATGTAAAACCGTTGATGTTGAATTCTGATTGGCGAGTATTTTCACACGTTGATATGATTGGCTGAAAAACCGACCTCCATTGCCCACAGACGGCATTACGGTATTGCTGGGGTGGAGATCAATCAGCATGGCGAAAAAGGTGCCTGCGAAGACGACCGCGGCGGCGGTGACCAAGCCATCGACCAAGTCCGATGCCAGCGTGGCTGAACTTGAAAAGTCCTTGCGCGCCGAGCGCCAGAAGCTGACGTTGTTTCGTCGGCCGATCTCGGTGTTGTACCATTTCTCGATCGTGCTCAAGGACTTTGTGCGGTGGTCGGTGGTGGCGCTGGCGACACATCCCCTGACGCTGTTCCTCGCGCTGCCGCTACTGCTACTGTGGATCGGGCTCTCCAACACTGCAGGGGACCATCATGCGTACTTGGACGAGTTCAACCTGAACGTCGAGTACGTCGTGTGGTGGGTCGGCCTCGGCGTGCTCTCGAGCGTGGGTCTGGGCACGGGCATGCACTCGGGCATCCTGTTTCTTTTCCCGCACATCTTTTTGGTCGTGCAAGGCGCCGAGTTTTGCAAGTCGACGGACTTTGACACACGCCATCACACGTGGTTTCGATCGTTCGAGACCAACTGTGGCAGCGCCGACACCGAGGTCACGTTCTTCACCATGTTCACCAAGGTGGCGGTGGCGTCCATGCTGTGGGGCGCGGGCACGGCGATGGGGGAGATCCCGCCGTATGCGCTGTCGTACGCGGCCAGCGTCGCGGGCAAGCGCAACGAAGACTTTGAAGACATCCAAACGTCCACGTCCGACTTCAACGTGCTCAACCGCACCAAGGAATGGATGATCACGTTCCTCCAGCGCCACGGCTTCTTTGGGGTGCTGCTCATGAGCGCGTGGCCCAACATGGCGTTCGACTTGTGCGGCATTTGCTGCGGCCACTTTCAGATGTCGTTCTGGACATTCTTCGGCGCTACGTTGATTGGCAAGGCGCTGATCAAAGCCAATCTGCAAGCCATGTTCTTTGTGACCATCTTCACGGACGCCACGCTCACGGAGATTGAAAAGTTCATCGCCCAAGTAACCCCCGTGTCGTGGGCACTGGACCAAAAGGTGGCGCAGTTTTTGCTGGAATGCCGACACAAGTTTCATGCGGTGGCGGACCAAGCCAAGGCGGACCATACTGCGGGCGAAGGCGCGACCGAGGGCGGCGGCGGGTCGCTCATCTCGCAAGCCGGCGGGTTCGTTATGGTGGCGTTTATGGCGTACTTTGCGATCTCGTGCATTGAACAGTTTGCCCAGCAGCATGCCGCCGACCAAGATGAAAAGACGATCGAGCAGGCCAAGAAGAAGTAAATAGAAAGTACTGCAAGCTCGAATAGAATACGGCACCAAAAACAGCAGCAGCAGCACCAGTTGGAGTTAAGAATAGTTTGCTGTAACGTTATGGATGGTGTGGAATTTGGGTGCGACAACATGGGTCTGCTGGCTCGGTGGGCGGGCGTATGAAATGATGATGGGCAAGTGGGAAAGTTATAATAACGGGTAACTACAGGCTCCATGCAGTGCAAATGCTTGGATGGATGGTCCAAAGGGGAAACGGGAAGTGTGATCATCTGTGGCTGAAGTGGCAAGGAAAGGCCGATACAAGTGCCCGCGCTACTATCCATTTGCAACTTGGACCAGAATTTCGCAACATTGTCGCCGTCGTCCTGCGTGTTGGTCACGGAGCGAAGTGTGTATCCTTGCCCTTCCCTACAAGCATGCGATACACAGCACGTTCTACGACTCAACCTTCATTACTTGACAAGAAGATGGAGGCACCGTGAAATGGCAGTTACAGAATTGACCAATCATGTTCGATTTCAACCAATTCGTGGGTTCCTTTCGATTTACGCTGGAAATAGCCACCACTCGAGCCAGCCGCCAGTGCCAATTGGCGATTCCCTTTTGTCATGTCGACTGCACCGCCTCCTGCGCCGCTGACGCCGTTGACTGTGACGACCACGACCCCTCAACCTAGTGGCACCATCAAGGCCGCGTGGACCGAAGCGCAGGTGAAGGATCGCATGTTCTGGTTCAAAGGCTTCAAGGACAACAAGAAGGGCGGCGTGATCTTCGACGACAAGGACGTGCTCAAGAAGCAGCAAGGCGTGGTCAAAGACATTATGCTGCAGCTCGGCGCCCAGCTGCTCAGTGGAAAGCTGGCGGTGCGTCTGTCGCTGCCCATTCGTCTGTTCGAACCTCGGTCTCTCCTCGAACGCATTCCCGACGCTTGGTAAGGCTGCACTCCAAAACAACTAAACCTCATCCCAGACGCGCTATGCAGGGCCTACGCCCCTACGCTCCTGGCCAAGGCGGCACACGCCACGGAAGCCCTGGACCGACTGCAACACGTGATGGCGTTCGTCGTCGCAGGCTTGCACTTTTGCGTCGGCCAGAGCAAACCGTTCAACCCGATCTTGGGCGAAACATACCAAAGCACGTTCCCCGACGGCACGTCCGTGTACTTGGAGCATGTGCAGTAAGAACAACACCATGTGACGCATTGCTTGATGTACTTGACATTCTCGTTCACGGCAACTTATATGGAAACAGGCATCACCCACCCGTGAGCGCGTACTACGTGGAAGGTCCTTTGAAGCTCTTTACCTTGTCTGGACAGTGCGAATTCGAAGCGCATTTGGCTGCCAATACCCTTGTCAATGCTCAGGTAACGCTAGTGTGATGACGACGACGACGGCGACCATTACCATATGCTGCTTTCAATTTCAACGTACACTCACAACTTAGATGGATGGTTATGGTTGTAGACTGGCACAGTCAAGGTGCAATTTGCCAACGGATCGGAAGTGCAGTATGCCATGCCCAAGTTCAAAGTCAGTAATTATATATTACTTGCTGGAAAGAATATGTTGTTCATGAAAAAGATATTTGTTTACGTTGTGTAGATGCATGGAGTGGTGCTAGGCGAGCGAATGTTTGAGTTTACAGGCGAATGCCACTTCCACGACGTCTCGTCCGACCTTCGCGGCACTCTAGACATGGACGGGAACTCGTCGTTCTTGGGGCGGAGCCACCACGACGACATCACGGGCACGATCGTCGCGCCCGCTACCAAGGTCTGTACATTCGTGTGCAACTTTGAGCGAAACGTCAGGTGCTGCGTTGTATAGAAGGGCGCCAAGCCACATGTAGTAGCCAAGCTCACTGGCTCGTGGCTCAACCACTTGCACGCGAACGGCGTTGTGTTGTGGGATATGGCCACGTCGCCCGTGTACTTGCACGTACCAGTGGCCACCCCCCTGCCCAGCGACGTGCGGTTTCGAGCTGACCTGATCAGCCTCAAGCAGGGGGACATGGACGAAGCGCAGCGCCAGAAGATCGTCATGGAGGAGGACCAGCGCCGCGACCACCGCCTAAGGGGGCACGACGACGGCGGCGGTAACAAGCGCCACAGCACCCCTAAACGTTAGAGCGTAAATCGTACGTAGAGTGAGCCAGATTGCAGAGACTAGAACTTTCGGCCCCAATGGAAACTCCACAATCTGCGACAGCGTCTTGTTCATTTCGATGACGTGGCACGCGGACATGTGCCGACCATAATTACACATTTCAACGCTGCGATAACGTTATCACCAGACAACGACAACGAGACCACCAGCACGTTGCGCTTTCATGGTTGATATACGTACATACTGGTTGGTATATGTACTACTAGTACTACTAGTAGTATATAAGGATGGATGGTATCAGACAGTTCATCTAATATGTGGGGTCGACCATGGGATTTGCTAGGGAATTTTATTCAAAATGAACGATGTATCGTTTATATGAGGTCAAGTGTATTTGACGCCGCCCATAAACGTCCGCGCGTCGGGCGCGGCGCCGTTGAATTCAGCGTTAGAGAAGTCGAAGCCTGGGTTTTCTTGCTGGAAGCGCTCGAGCATGAGCTTCTTCTGCACTTCGCCTTTGGTCAACGGATCCAGCTATAGAACGAGTAAGCTTGCGACCACATGACAGGGGGGAACCTACCTCGCCATGACCCACAAACACGCAGTCCCACGTCAGTCCCTTCTTCATTTTCTGCAAGTTGACGTTCAATTCACCACTATCTAATGCATAGTACTCCAGTAAGACACCTTGGATCGAGGGGAGCGTAGTACCAAGCATCCAGTAGCTTTCGTCTGCCACAACTTGACTCGAGAATTCATGCTATGGAGAGTTCGGATGTCAGTGCAAGCAACGTGCAATGCAGATCGAATGCAAAAGTACGTCGAGAAACTTGTCCGCACTTCCTTTGAGCCCCAGCGTGAACCGCGTCGGGGTGATCGTGCATGCAAGGTGCGCCGCCGTGATTCCTGGCGGTGGACGAATGAACACGTTCACTTCCTCGAGGGACTGCTCCCATTCATAGATAAGCTGCCCTGCATCACCATCCCATGTGAGACCACATGCTCAATCCGCTGGCATGCCGCATGAACATGTACCTTGATGCTTGAAGGACCGGCGGCCCGTGTTCACTTGGGGAATCGTCATGACGGTCCTCGCGCTTTATTAGGATTTTGTCAATGGTCATCCGTATAAAACATCCGGCTCTACTTTCCATGAAATCTTGAGCCGTTACAAAAAGCAATACACCGTTACAAAACTCATGCTGGCAACATGACACGTCCAAGCCAAGCGGAAGTGCTACTGCTCAAGCTTTTCCATGCCGCCAGGTCCATCCAGCATGATGCCGGCAAGGACTGGAATCAAAGGGAGTTCCTTGTCCTGGGAGAGATCGCAGCGCTGCAGGATACCGGCAAAGTGCCATTATCCGTGGACCTCATGCAGCTCGGCATTCTGTACGCGTTGAATGGCGCCGACCGAGACAGGGAACCGGGTCAATTCGAGTTTCACGACTTGTACGACTTTGTCGAGCGATGCGAATCGGAAGAGAAGGCTGCGGCACGCGGGACGCACGTACCAACCTACTACAAGCAGTCGAAGGAGGCGCGGTGTGCCTTGGACCTGTGGGAAGTCGCAGTCTCCGATGGCGTTGGTGTGATCTCAACATGGCTGATGCAATTGCTGCGAGAGAACGGCAGGGCCATCCGTGGAGGGTATCATGAGGACAGCGACTGTGTGGCTTCGACCACGTTGCGGCTCCTGGGTCGAGTGCTGAGGTTGGATGACGGGTGGGACGATGTATTGCCGGTAATACATGTCATAGGGATTGGGCAGCCTAGCGATTCGAAGATGGAAACGTGGCGGCGGATATCCGACGTCGCTGACTTTGTTGAGTCGTTTCTGACTGGATGGATCGAACAGCTCGGGCGAGTAGGGGTCACCCTTCCTTCGCCGATCTCATCCTAACGGAGCCATTCCGTAATCGAGGCCGCCTTTGCATATACACGATACAATACAATCAGATGTTTCACCAAGCAATTTGAAAATACGCATCACGTGCTGCTCTACGTAGCCAACGCATTGACGCTAGAGCCAGCTTATGTACAGTACATAATGTGTATTCAAAAGACAGGATTGCAACTAGCTCCAACGCTGCAAGCAACTGAGCTCAGATCTGAAGGACATTGTGAATCAACCTACCAGTATTCACATACTGTAGTATGCTGGATGCTACTTTTCTCGATACATGGTTTAAGACCAAGGGGCCAGATCATCCCACGGAGTTTGCTATCACCTTGTTCGCTGGAGACTGGGTACAGTATGTGCACGCACACATGTCCAATGCTCACGTTGAACATCAAGAAAGTACCTTTAATGTAGGAGTAGTCGTTAGTTACCACATGTACTACCCCGACATACATGTCGGCTGAGCCGTTCCGCATCTCGTCCGGTCTCGTCGGCCAACTTGAGCAACCCGACACGAGATTGCATATGACCGTTCCAACAGCGCGGCGAGATTGCCGTGTTACTCGAGCACATATAAATAATATACATTCCATCCCATCAACTTACAAATCCACGTCTGCCCGCCAGCGTATTTACCTCTACCAGCCATCGCAGCAGCATGTCATGGTGGCTCCCGCTCCTCTTCGTCGCCGCCGCCTTCGTGACCACAACATCAAACATGACAGCAGCAGCAGCTTTTGTCACGTCCGCCCCGTTGTCCCAGGTCACACCATCCCGACCTACGTCGTCCATAGCATCAGCCTCGTTGCTCATTATTTCAACTTCCACAACGATCACAGCAACCTCTACACATTCTCCTCTTCGCCCTACCACAACCACCACCACACCAACTACTACAGCAACTACCGGCGAAACCCCGCCTACCGTCGTCGTCTTGGCTCTCGTTCCTGCATCCACCGTAGCCAGAGTCGAGAGCTCGCCCCCTCTATGCGACCCCGTGTCTTGTCGAGTGCTGCTCACCATGGGCGGGTGCGTCGTGTTGGCAGTGGCGACGTTGGTGGGCTGGCAGGTCTACCAACGGTATGCCTTTCGCCGGGAACGAGAGCAGTTTCAGCTAAGGGAGTCCGAGCTCAGGTCTGCCGTCGAAGAGAGCATTTCTTCCAGCCGTAGCCTTCGCAGCATCATGACGAGCTCTACAAGCGTTCAAGTGTAGCCACGCCGCCATGCCACCATGAGCTCAGGGTTATCAAATAATGAAAAACATAGTGTACGATACTATTGAATGGTGAAGTCGAGTGAATATGTATGTAGTGCAATTGCCAGTGGCGAGCCAATCCAACATTCGTTCCGAGTGCGACGTTGCTAGCACTCGGAGGATGCTGCCAAAGTCCCCCAAATGTTCGGTGCAAACCGCAGGCAAGCCCCACTTGTGTCCAAGTTCCCCTTATCCACTGGATTTACTTCGAGTAAGCCATATCGTATCACTTGTGATTCCAGTATCGTAAGATACGAACACAAACAACCTAAGCTAGACATTAGAGTTACGAGCTCAGAGGTGATCTCATCTTCGCCCCCTCCACACTCACGTTGGGAGGATGCGCTAGTTTTCTGATGATGGATTCCACGACAGAGCTGTCTTCATCAGCAGTTGGCAGCGTGTACGTCGAGCTCGTTGTCAGTGTGCATCCTTCCAGGGCAATATGCAGAAACGTTTGCGTCGACGACGGCGGGGGGGATGTAGGATTGGCTGGGTCGATTTCGCGGTTGAGTTTCCGCAGAGACGCCACGACAGCATCTCCAAACGGGTTCCCACTGAGCACGAGCGACTGCAAACTCATGTTGGCCCGGAGTAGCTTGACAAACTTACTCAAGTCTTTCAGGGCGTGGATACTATTGTGACCGACGTTTAAGACCCGCAACGCGCCGTTTCGAGGAAGCGCGTGCGCCAACGCCATGAGTCCGACCTCGCCAAACGAATTGAACGACACATTCAACGACTCGAGGGCATTGTTGTCACCCAAACTCCCAGCTATAGCCACGGCATGAGTCCCCCTGAGCAAATTCCAACCCAAATCCAAGTGTCGCAGCTTCGAGTGCGACCGGAGCAGGAGAGCGATCGCCGGTCCACATGCTTGCAGGCTATTCTCGGACAAATCCAGCGATTGGATCGTCAGGTTATTGGCTAGGGCTGTGAGGAGCGCGCGACCGACGAGGTCTCCGATGTTGTTTTTCGATAGCTTGAGCGTTTGCAGCTGGCATTTGGGCGACTGCACGGCGTCTGACAGCGCTGCGACACCGTTTGCGTGGATGCGGTTGTGGCTCAGGTCCAAGTTGACGAGCGCATGTTGCGAATGCGTGATCGCGTGGAGGATGGTCACACACCCCTTGTCGCACATGGCGTTGTCCGAGAGGACGAGCGTCTTGAGCTGGCGCCGGGACGACGACTGATCGAGATACTGGCCCATCTTTTGCACGACTCGGTCGCCGAGTCCGAAATGACCGAGATTGAGCTGCCCCTGTTTTTCCCAAAGTGTCGGGGTACTCATGGGACTGCTACTCCTCGACATCATCGAGGGGGGCGTGTAGCGGGACGCAGCAGGAGCAGCAGCCTCGAGCCCGCCCCAATCCCACTCAAACTCCCATGGCCACGCCTCCCACGCCCACGTCGACGCCAGCGACGTTGAGCATTCGTCTCGGAACGCATGATACATCGCCTGAATGTCCTGGACAGGCCGCGTGCATCCACCAAGGTACTCGTTCACGACACTCGGGTCGTGCCACGGTACCTCTGCGAGCCAGAACTCGTCCACAAGGCGGTGAAACCCCGCGCGTTCGAATGGCTGCAGCGGTACCAGCTGCTTGTCCATGGCGCACTTGGTGAGGGCGCTGCGGACCTGCGCTGCGCTATGGGCTTGTTCGGCGTCGCACGCCGCGTCCAACTCGAGGTACAATTGCATCGCCCGTCGATTCTACGTTTGCAATAGCAATTCCAAGAACAAATCGCAGTCGATTTTACGCATGCCGCGAGACGACGACGATTGCTTCGACACTTGCTCGAGAAGCTCGGTGTGGGCCGTGGCGGGCCACTGGGGGTGTACTAAACAGTCGTGGCAATATACAGTGGGGGTTAGGTGCCATGTACTTTGCATTGTTGAAAACATGACTGAATGAATGTGTGTAGTAGTGGCTGCTGGGGGGGTACCGTGGAGCTCGTCGCACGTGGGCTCGAGGTACTGAAATGTCCAGTACGGATCGGGTTCGTTAAACAATTCATGCACCACGGCCTTGGCTGCGGCTTGGGCGAGCCCGATGTTGTGAAACACCACCGAGGCAATCGACGTGCCGCCATTTTCCGACCACTCGGCCACGGCTTTGAGCTTGACGCGGTAGATCTTCTCGACGCACCGCAGGAACATGATAGTCTTCTCGGGCGGGTTGAACGTATTGTCAGTCTGGAGCCCGCAAAGGTTGGTGAACGCGCGGACGCGGGGATGGGTCGTTGCATGCAACATGGATGCTATCGTGGCTTGCACTTGGTCCACACCGTTCTTTCTACATTCAAAAGGGGGTGGTTCAAACAAATACTCGACAGACAGACGACACCATCCACCCATCCCATTCACGCAATACGACGGTGAGGGGGTGGAACCACGACAGCATCCACCCACCCTCCCCATCCAAGCATAACGTGGACGGTTGACATATATGCCCATCGTCGCATAACGGGGGGGCTGTACGCTAGACACCATCGACCCATCCCATTCATGGTACACGTACCGGCCGTTGGCTTTTTGCATGATCGTATTGGCAACGTACTCTGGAAGCGACTCGATGGCCAGCGTATCATCGTACCGCGAGATGCACTGTTCGTATGCGTCCATAATCACATTCAACAGCACGGCTACGTGCAGCCGGCGCTCCTTTTTCTGCGACATCGTTGTGATGTTGCTGCTGGCCATGTCGGCTTGCACTTTGAACGCCACCAACGGGTTCGCAGCGTTCTTGCGCCACACCCGCACCCGCGAGCAGCAATGTTTGAGCTTCTGCTGGCGGGCCATCTATACATACACACATATATATTGGAAGATCAAGAGTTGCTCGCGAACGAATGATTCGTACTTCAAACCCAGTCTCATTGAGAAAGAACGACGGATCGCCGTCCAATGCTACCAATACGCGATGTTGCGCGTCGCCAAGCGAGTGCCCGAGAATCGACTCCCGTGGGCCGCCTTTGAATATGGGTGACACCTCCGCCTGCTTTGTCATGGACAATCGATCGCTCGTTGGCTTGGCCTTGACACTTCTGTCGTCACCATGGACGACGTTTCAAAACCGTTTCATATATATATATGATGGAACGGCACCTCGTGGGTCATGGCAACGCAATACCAGAAACACAAACCACGTACTATAGTATATAGTACAATACAATAAGCAACGGAAACGAGATACCATTTGCCGAATCATTTGTCGACACCATCGACAAGGCCACTCGATGTGTGACACTGTCGCATGGACACTTTATCCTTACAACGGAGAAGACGAGAACCCATGGCCTCCTCCTCGAGGATCGACGGGTATGTTGTGCCGGCAGACTCTGTCGGAGGATATTTGATTTCGACGCGACGGTTCCAGTCGTTGTGACGTGGCAGTTACATTTCATACTCCCCCCATCAGCAGTAGCATATGACCAAAGGTAACAGCCGCGGCGACCCCGTGTGCAAACTAATCTTGCTCGGGAACGGGTCCGTGGGCAAGTCGAGCATCATCGGGCGGTTCGTAGACGATGGCTTTGCCAAGCAGTACAAGCAAACGATCGGGTTGGATTTCTTCGTCAAGACGATCGCGTTGCCGCGCGACCGCCGCGTGGTGCTCGAGGTGTGGGACATTGGCGGCCAGAACATTCGCAGCAAAATGCTCGACAAGTACGTGTACGGCGCCGACATTGTGTTTGTGTGCTACGACGTAACCGATCCCAAGTCGTTTGCCGACGCCGACGACTGGGTCACGCTCGTAACAAAGGCTCGCGATGAGACCCCCTCCTCCCCCCCAACAACCACCACCAAGCAAGTTGCCATGAAACATAAACACAAACAGCACGTGTATTTAGTGGGCAACAAGATTGATCTCGTCGGGTTGCGCGCCGTGGGTGTTGCGCAGCACGACGAGTTTGTCAAGACACATCATCTAGCCGGCGCATTCTTGTTGTCGGCTCACAGCGGCGACAACGTCCTTCGCACGGTGCACCAGATCGCCGCCCAGGCCGTGGGCGTCCAACTATCTGAGTTTGAGCTCCAGTTCTTGGACAAACCTGTGATAGCGTATGCGTTGGCTCCGTCGGCGGAGGACGACCCGCGCACGGCCGACGCCGACGCCATCGAGCAAGAGGATTTGAAGCTGGAAGCACACAAGAACAACAGACCTCCTCGTCGGCTGCCTTGTAAATGTACACTTATGTAACACCACAGAAATATGGTTCAAGTAATAGGTGTATTAAATAGGAGAACTAGTAGTAGTGCTAGTAGTTGCTGAGGTAGTTGGTGCAAGAATGGCTGTAGGTTGGGGTGTAGTTTCTACCCTCGTACGTCGCCCACGTCGTGACGAGTCGCATCGTCAGCTGTCGAGTGTTGCTTCTCATCGATTTCAAAGGTCATAGAGTTGGGTCGGGCGGCGCATTGAAGGCGAATTGCCCGCTGTTGTTTGTGCAATACACGAACCGATTCGTGTATAGACCGCAACGCCGATGCTTCTACATATATATATATATATAAATATATGGTGAGGAATAGTTAGTTGCTTTACCTACTGACGCGTCGGTCGCAAACGACACGAACGAGCCCACGGCCGCGAGGTTGGCGTCGGTGGCGTAGTTAATCGCAGACGAGTTGCGCAGGATGAGCAGGGCCGTACTCACGCTATAAGCCATGCGCTGTAAATGCGTGGCTGGGAACGTTCCTAAGTAACTTCTCATTATCCAATGCAATATATTACGGGTATTATATATATATATACCAGTTTTAGCAACGATCTGAAACAAGATGGCAATGCCGTCCATTTGAATGCGCACGTTACTGGGATACACGTCGAGTCCGTTCAACACGGTGGCAATCAATCCGTTGCTGAGCAACTTGCGACACATGTCTACATCCAAACGCAGCAACGCCAATAATTTTTTAAAACTCTAATATTTATATATATATATATATATATATATATATATATATATATATATATACATCGTGTTATCTATTGTACCTGGTCGCAAGCATAACTTTGTCAGAGCTCGAAACGAATGTTCCTGGAGTTTTTCGTTCATTACGAGTTGAGTCATGCACGCCAGCGTCTCGCACTTGTCTACCAAATATAATCAATACCATATTCCTAAGTATATATATATATATATATACTAAATATACATCCATAGTTACCATATATATCGACTAAATATTTACCATTTAATATATCCTAATTATATATATATATATCTACTAAATATATATCCATAATTACCATATATATATATATACTACATATACTAGTAAATAGAGCCATGTTGAGGGTAAATAACTTGAAGTTAACGTTGAATTAGCAAGAACAAGGTCGTCTAACTAGTTACCTCGTAGATGGGTTTGTACAACGTCAATAGCATTGTCAATATGGGCTTCTTGGCACTTTTCATTGGCATGCGCAGTACCCCACGCGCGGAATTCGTCATGCTTGGCGGTTGTGGCCGCCGCCGTTTCCTCCAGCAATGCTTCGTACTCGACCTGGCCATGACAGAGGTCGGTTAGCATGGCTTGGTTGGTCGAGATGGCGCTCTCCGTGACGAATATGTCGGCGTCCAAGGCGGCGATGTCGTCTTCGACGGCCTCGCGGTGTTTGACGCTGTCGCAGAGAATCGTGCGCGCGATGAAGGCATTGGAGCGGGCATGGGCGATCCGATGGTGGAGACGGCTGGCTTGTTTGCGCAGGTCCAAGTTGGCGGCTTGGAAGGCGACGCTGACTTGGATGGTGCGACGAATGGCGTCGTGCGACGGCGCGACGAGACACGGGAACATCATGGCATGCCATGGCGCTCCAAGAAACGGCTGGTTACCCTTCTAAGACAGAAATCGGAACGTGACGGTTGAGAAACGAACCATGTCGCATGAGTTGATGGATGTCGTACGAGATCGCCGAGGTGCATGTCGGCGCCACTTTGCAGTAACAACGTCGACATGTCCTACCGATATGAGCTCATCCACGACGACGAAGATGGAGATTGATGGAGGAGGAGAGGAGAACGAGATGAAAAACATCCTTGTAGTGTGTACCTTGTGTCGATTCTGTACGCTTAAATGCAACGGAGAAAGGCCATCCTGTGAACATGATCAACTAGGCGGTAGATGGATTTCAGTCAGGAAACCTCCTTACCTTGCCTGTAGCATTTACGTTGCACCCGCGGACGATAAGAAGCCTCGCACATGCCTACACACAAGGGTGAGTATCATGTCACTCCTTCGACGTCGCTGATTACCACGGCTCCATGCATCGCCGCGAAATGTAGCGCCGTGTATTGATGGTTCTACATTCCATCAACCATGAGGAGCATGTTCCTGAAGACATGCATGAATGTACGTACCCCAAAGGCGATATCAACGCTCGCACCAGCTTCGATCATGACGGCCGCTTCCTCCCATTGCTCTCGTCGGCAGCACTGCGCCACAGAGTCGGCCATGATGGTGCGAATTGACCCAAGTGTCCTTTCGCGCGTGTCGCGGGTATCCGGATACATCGTAACCGGAAACATGGTGTTTATCCGGAATTGTATTCGGATACTCCCACCGCGTTTGGATTTCGGGTGTTTCGACCATCGCAGGAAGCATGTCCCTGTACTTGCGCGTGAAGCGACGGAATCAAACGTTCTTCATCTTGGCCGAGCCCCATGACACATTCCTCAAGGTGAAGGAGACCCTGGCATCGATCCTGACCCTGAGTTCGCCCAACCAAGTGCAGCTGTGGCACACCAACAAGGTAAAGCTGCCAGTCCATTGCTGTCGCTTAGGACAGCTTGGTTGATATGGTTGACTTCTTCGTGTAGCAAAAGGAGCTGTTGGACGCTGCGACCGTGGCGGACCAAGAGATCGAGAACGACGCCGTCGTTTACTTGTGTCTCAAGAAAGAGAGTACGGCCATGACCATGCATACCCCTTGTCGTGTTCATCGTGTGCTGGTGTAGACACGGAGGTGTGGGAAGACATTCAAGTGGCCAAGCTGGAGCTCGACCACGACAGCAACAACAACGATCACTCTACCAAGGAGTGAAATCTGACACACCGACCTGTGCACCTGCCTCCATTCATTAGAGACCTCACGACAACAGACATATCCTTCCTGCCATGATAATACTATACGTTCCATATTATCTCGTTGTTTTACACTTAATGTTACAGTCCATTTCGCAAAAAAAGGATTCCATAATGTAACTGCCAAGACGTTACATCGTACTACTACCATGGAGCCCGTACATCATCAACCAGGCACCGAGCAGGACCGCCGCCGACGGCGGAACCCCATGACCGCACATCATTCGGACGAAAGCGTCCAGCTGGACGATGAACTGGTGTGCATCCTCATGGAGATTGAGCGTGGCTACTTGGACTTCCCCAGGCCCTTGCAGTATGTAGTTGCACCGTTCCTTCCATCAGTAGCCATAGCCTCTAACGTGGATGTGTATCGGCGGCAGAATTCGCATTGAGAAGTGGGTAGACAAAATATCCCAGCCCATCGTGCATTTGCAGTGGAAGAAGAATGCCAACTACTATGCCATCCTGTTGCTCGACATGGTTCGCCGAGGGGTACCCGCAACTCGTTCCCGTCACGCCCACATCATGATGCGTTCATCTTTAGGTGTTTCGAGCTCCATTTGACAAGACACCGCCATTTGGTCCATTGCAAACCCTTCCTCGACACATGGTTATAACATATCTCCATGTATTCAACCTCGTCATGACGTCCATGTGCTTGCTCGTTAGATCTGCGCCCTAGATGGAATGCAAAAGCAACCGCGGCAACCACCGCCGCCGCATCCACAGAACGCATGGCTCAAGGCTTATGAGCGAGTCGTGAGGCGCACTCGTACGACTACTACCACAGAAGCCACCGAATCGAAAGCCAAGATGACATCCCTAGCTTTATTGCTACCACCTTCACAACTACCGGAACGAGATCCACGGCGTCCGTCGTTGTCGTATGTTGAAATAGCCAATGAAAGATTGACCCGCCTTGAAGCAGACTTGGCGGCGGAACAAGCCACAAACAGGTCACTGGACCAGCAATTGGAGGTACAGTACATAGTGACTACCAGGGACGACGACAGCAAGTCATGGGAATGAAACTTATTCGAGTGGATAGGAGCTCACGACGCTTTGCAAGACACAGTCAGCGACGATCGAGGCGTTGAAAGCAGAGCTGCTAGCGGTGCGGGCCAGCCATACGCGTGAACTGGACCGATTGAACATGTTGCATGCCGTGGAAGTCGACGAGTTGAAGAAGAAACACCACCGACACGTACGAGCAACATGCCCGTGCTGCTTTTGTCCAACGTGTGCACTATATCGTAGATGCAAGATGCCATCATATCCAACCAACATACCATTGCGACCCGACAAGCTCTGGCCAAGGTAAGCGCAGGATGCATGCTGGTCCATGGAATGAGATCCATGTATGTATGTATGCAGACGGAGACTTTCATGGGCGGCATTGACGACCACGACGGGGTCCAAGACTTCCTTGCATACATCGATCGATTTCACGTAGAAACGACCGCCTTGACCAAGTCCGCCTCCGCAACTCACAAATGAGTTTTCCATTCCCTTTCGATTTAGGCGTTTTAATTTTGTCACGTTATATATTGAAATGGTACTACTAGTATGTACTAGTGGTGGGATTGTACTTGGTATGAATATTTGAATTCGGACATGTGAACTGGATTGAATAAAACTAACACGTTTAAACCGCTCGACGTGTTCGTGCGTATCCGGACGGGTTGCCAAGGAAGACGCCATGGTAAAGCTGAATTTTAGCCAATCAAAGCGATATGATCGTGACCACGCGCTTTGGTTGGTAGCCGCGAGAGCTTTGGAGAACCAGTCAAGAGTGCTTCAACTTGGTATCTCCATCCATATTCATTTCCACACTCCCGACATCATGGCCAAGAAGCAATCCAAACCTGTGCCTGTCAAGGCCGACAGCAGCAGCTCCGACTCGTCCGACAGCGAAGCCCCTGCTCCTGCTAAGAAGGCGGCTCCTGCCAAGAAGGCTGCCCCTGCCAAGAAGGCTGAATCGTCCTCGGACGACTCTTCTTCGGAAGACGAAGCTCCTAAGAAGGCTTCGCCTGCTAAGAAGGCGGCTCCTGCCAAGAAGGCGGCCCCTGCCAAGAAAGCTGACTCGTCGTCGGACGACTCTTCTTCGGAAGACGAAGCTCCTAAGAAGGCTGCCGCTCCTGCCAAGAAGGCGGCTCCTGCCAAGAAAGCCGACTCATCGTCGGACGACTCTTCTTCGGAAGACGAAGCCCCTAAGAAGGCTGCTGCCCCCGTGAAGAAGGCGGCCCCTACCAAGAAAGCCGACTCGTCGTCGGACTCTTCTTCTTCTTCGGAAGACGAAGCTCCTAAGAAGGCTGCCGCTCCCGTGAAGAAGGCGGCGGCTGCCAAGGAAACCGACTCATCCTCGGACGATTCTTCTTCGGATGAAGAAGAAACCCCCGTGATCAAGAAGCGCAAGGCCTCGGACGCTGCCGAGCAACCTGCCAAGGTGCTCAAGAACAACGACGGCGACGCTGTCGCTGCGGCCCCTGCCGACGAGAACCGCGATATTTTCATCGCTGGACTCCCCTGGGTGACCGACGAAGACGAGCTCAAGGCCGTCTTCGCCAACGTTGGCGGTGAAATCACCAGCTTGCGCTTGCCCCAGGACGCCAATGGACGCTCCACGGGTACCGCGTTCATCACGTTCGACAGCGCTGCCGCCGCCGAGGCCGCGATCGCGTTGGACGGCGCCGACTTTGGCGGTCGCTGGATGAAGATCCGGTCGGCCGAAAAGAAGAACCACGTCGCAGACAAGCCGGAAGGGTGCCTGTCCATCTTTGTCGGCAACTTGTCTTGGAACATTGACGAAGACACGCTTCGCGCCACCTTCGAACACTGCGGCCCCATCGAATCGGTCCGTCTCGCTACCGACCGCGAAACCGGCGACTTCCGCGGGTTCGGCCATGTTGACTTTGGAACGTCTGAAGCTGTCGACGAAGCTGTCAAGCTCAACGGCGAAGACGTCCTGGGACGCGCCATCCGCGTCAACTACTCGGAAAAGAAGCAATTCGGTGCCGGCGGCGGCGGAGGTGGCTTCTCCGGTGGCCGTGGCGGCGGACGCGGCGGTGGACGTGGCGGACGTGGTGACTTTGGCGGACGCGGCGGAGGACGCGGTGGCGGACGCGGCTTCGGTGGCGGACGTGGCGGCGGACGCGGGGACTTTGGCGGACGTGGCGGAGGACGTGGTGGCGGACGTGGTTTCGGCGGCGGACGTGGCGGCGGACGCGGTGGACGTGGTGATGGCCCCCCCAAGCGCCAGCCGTCGTCGATCCAAAACTTCCAAGGCCAAAAGAAGACGTTTGATTAAACTGCTTAGTCAAGACCAATAGACAGTTAGACCACGCTTGCTATATATATTCGTAATCGAACTACCCCACAGTATGACAATCATTTGCGTGTCTGCGATGGACATCCCAACGCTAATAAGCCCCTTATTAGTATGGCGAGATTGCTCAGCTACATTAGCTTGGCAGTGAGAGTATTTCAGCGTGGCTTCTGACTCTGGTGTCTCCCACAATACACTGTCAAGTCGATTTGAAATTGGAGTGTGGTGAATCGACCAAATCGGCAGACAACCAATCGACCAATCCAAACCCAGAATACTATTCAAGTGGCCAATCAAATCCGTTTCGACCAAATGAACCTCGAATTAGTCGGGGACATCAATTAGTGTGAAAGAATCGATCGATAGATTTGGCGAATCAGCACAAAAGTCCAATATTGGGGTTATCCAAAGTAGGAATCGTCATGCAAGACATTTAGAAATTGTTCAATTAACTGTTAGTTGGAATTTTTGGGTTTTAATCCTTTGTGGAACGGTGCTTTTTGTGTTTTTTCTCCTTTTTCTCTTTTTTCTCTTTTTTGGCCTTGTGGTCTTTTTTGGCCTTGTGGTCTTTTTTGGCCTTGTGGTCTTTTTGAGCCTTGTGCTTCTTGCGGCGTCGGGTGTCTTCATCCAACGAATTGTCGTCCTTCGTTCGATCTCGATTGCTTGCCGCCATGCCTTGTTCTTTAATGCCTCGGCCTTGTTCTTTAATACCTGAGTCTTGTTCTTTAATGCCTGGGCCTTGTTCTTTAATGCCTGGACCTTGTTCTTTAATGTCTGGCCCTAGTTCTTTAACGCGTTGGCCTTGGTGGCTCATGTCTTTGGGTGGTTGTGCGCTGTCTTGTTCTTCGTCATCGCTGGAACTGCTGCTGCTGTCGTCATCCTCAACATCGTCGTCGTTCGCATCAAAAACAGACTGAAACAAATCCAATCCAGGGCGTTCCAGCGGCGGCAGCTCCGGCAGCACTTCCTCCACTTGGACGACGTCCGCCGCCGTCCGGACCACCCCCGCGGGCACATGCGCCATGATGTCGTCCTCAAACCGCGTGTCGGGCGTCGGTTTCTTGGCCGCCCCCTCCACGACCGCCGCGTCCGGCACCGACAGACGGAAGCGTTTGCACAGCAACCTGTCTGGCATCCACGCCTTCGTCCGTCGCACCAGCGGCGCCATCTCGAGTCGCGGCGGCGGGGTTACACTAGTATCCGTAGAAGTCGACGTTTGAAAGCGGCTCGATATTGCTGCCATCATGCCTACATAGGTCCAATATATCAAGTCACATAATATTGTCAAGTCGATTCGAAATTCGAGTCAGAGAATCGATCGACCAATCAAAACCCAGATATCACGAATCAAGTAGCCAATCCAATCCACTCTTGGACCAATATTAGTATGTGACTTCAATTAGTGTGGTATTATTGGACCATATATATTTACATACAAAAGTCAAGACAAACAATCAATCGGTGATTGATTTACAAATTATTAGCAAAGAATCAGCACAAAAGTCAGCCACAATTTGTGTAAAAAACGGCAATACTTGAGTTTAGCTAAGGTAGGTACGTATATATCCCAGTCTAGACTGGTTAGATAGCACCATCAGCAACCCATATACAACAAGAAAGCACACGTTTTTCACCATATATAGATAGGCCTTGTCATCCACGTCACAGTATTATTTCAGAGTCATTCACAATGATATACATGTGAAACCGTATCCCATGCCGATTTTCCGTACCTGCTCGAAACTGCGAGTGCAGCAACGTACGGTCAGCAGCTTCGGGCTGTTTCTGAGCCAGTTCGCCCAACACTCTGCCTCGATCTGCCGCTGACTGTGTCACATGTTTGCGAGGCGGCGCCAGCTTGACATGGCGGAGCGTTGGCACCCAATTGGGCGGCACGACAACATGGACAGTCGCCGCGGGGGATTTGAACCGCGTCTTGCTCAGTCGAAAGCCAGTCAGTACCACGCTTCCGTCGCTGCAAACCTGTGACACTGCGCCGTCAAGATCGTCCTCTTGCGCTGGCGCCATGAGCCTCGCCCGAGTGGGCTGGCTGGTCAGAACTCTATCGAACGCATCCTTCGAGTCTGTCGCATACACGTCCATGTCGTCATCGTCGGCTTCTTCCAATGCACTCAACCCCAACCTAGGTAGTGTTATTTTCACGAAAAATTGGAGCAAAATTGGAGCAAATTGGTAGATTTTGGAGGATGACGTACGTCGTGGAAGTGGACGACGTGTTGTTGCCGCGGATCGAGTCCGCAAACGTCAGCATGGCGCGCGGGGGACCGCCGGCGGACGCTTCGAGTTGCCGCCGCCGCTGCAGGAAACCGAACTCCGGCGCGTTCATGTACGGATCGTACCCGGCGCCGTACTTGTCGAGCTTTTGACATGGAAAGATGTCGGCGATGTTGAGCGTGTGCTTGGGTGCGATAAAGATGATGTCGTCGTCGTCATTGGGTTTGGCGGTGGTAGGAAGGGCGGCTTCGGGAGGGTCGAAGCGAGAGGTGAACTTGCGCTTGCGCACCTTGGGCCCGACCCCCTGGCCTTGTTTCCACCCCATCTTCCCGAGGAGCGTCGTGCCGATCGTGCTCCGCGACGGTTGGATGAAGTCGTCGACGATGAACCCAGGAATGGACGATGTCGACGCTTGTTTGGCCTGGAACTGCTGCGATTGAGACGAACCATCCGCAGCGAGCGGGTCGTACTGCGAGTTCAACCCGAGACGTTTCCCCAGCAACGGGTCGTCGTCTTCGTCCATAAAGTCTTCGATGCGTTGCTTTCGCGGCCCCGACGGCTCTCCATTCTCGGTGGACGATGACTGGGGTTGCGAACGGGACGACTGAAACGAGCTCGGCGCCCAGCCCTCCTTGCTGCCCACGGTGTTGAAGTACCCTGCAGAGAACCCCCCTGTGAAGGCTCCATGGAAGCGCTTGTCCTACATAGTTTGAAGATGTTTATGATCTTCCCCATGCATCCCATGCATGACTTCTACCTCGCGCTTCTTCTGCAGGCTGTTGTTGTTCATCGCCATGACAACTCGTCCACTCCAAACCGTTTATCCGGATAATTTACAGCCGGATAAAGATACTTAAGCTTTTTCAACTTTATAGCGTTTTGACAACGCCAACACGAGGAGAAAGCAATCGTTGGGTCGATTGATTACAAGGTGGGCACAAAGCTACAGACGGGACATTGCAAGTCCGCGTTCAAGTGCGTCACAATGCACTCGTCGTGGAAGGGATGGCCACAGGCCAACGTGGTGATGCTGACCTGGACGACAATGCTGTTGTTGTAGGTTGCACCAGTTTTCTCATCTTGTGTCATACTTCTTGGATCTCCCTCTAGCGATTGCAAGCATACACCACACGCCATCTCATCCGCATCGCGAGTCTTGTCATCACTGGCATCATGAAACGAGGATGGCTTTCGAGGGGACTGGAGAGTCGACGGCCACGACGCTTCCACGTCGTTCACGACATACACGGGGCCATAAAAGAAGTCGATCACGAGCTTCGAGATGGTATCCAACAGCACTGGACATGTCATGTGACCTGGCGGCCCCGCGAATACGTCCACCACGGTGGTCAAGTACCGCTTGAAGTGCGGTAGTATGGTGCTGCTTTTGGTTGTGGTGTTCTTGGCTGACCACCGAAACAAGACCGACGGATGGATGGCGGAGACACGGCGAGGGAATTTCGTGGCGACGTGGGCAAACAACCACGGACACACGTCTCGACACTGGTGGCCTTGCTTGAGCTGCATCGTCAACGCGTACTGCAACGCCCGCACGTCGCGGGATGTCTTGACCACTTCCCACATGCGACCAGAGGCAGCGTTGCGAGCGACCACATGGTACAACGTGTGGCCGCGGTCCATGGACGTACGGTGACCAAAGTCCACTCGGAGGTTGCGGAGTAGCATGTGTGCTGGATGCACAACGGCGGCACGCGGTGACGACAAGGGCGTGCCGCGCGGACTTGCGCGAGGGGATAGAAGGTAGTCGGCCATGTTGGAAGTGGGCTGCATCGTGTCCCTAGCTTTGGCGCATATAACTTTGCCAACACGAGAAGTGTGTCATGCCATGTATGGGGGACGACTGCTGCCCAATACATTCTGCTGCTGCAGTGCAAAGATAACGGAACATCTATTTTTAGATGTACGATAAACCTACTGGCGAATGAATGGCAACGCGAAATAGTTATGCTCAGCCAGCCACCCGAGATATTGCGGCCAAGGATGGTGCACTCTAAGATTGGTGTCTGCCACATTTACTAATAACAAGCCTACAGGTATTAATGGAACACTGCCATAACTACTGCACTTCAACTGTTCAACTGTACTTTTGAAGAAAGATATCAATTCGGATGCCTGATTGGCTATTATTCCTCAAAACGTAGATCTGATTGGCTTGGGTTCAAATTCCAAGTTTGATCCAAACTATGTGCCTCGTTGCGACAGTAAAACTCGGTCGTCGCACCCTGTGAATTCGAGTGGCGTTAGTAGCGGCTATGACGACGTTCCCTACTGTAAACTGTACTAGTAGGGTAGTTACAGTAGTGGTGTCACTTGACCAATCGGGACATACAATGCATAGCGCCGCTTGGAATTAGTGTGAGCGACACATGGATCAACGTCACAGGGCTTCTTGCCATAGAATTGACACACACTATTTACACATCAACGACAGTTTCATGGCGCAAAATCTCGTCGGCGGACGGCCGCGCGAGGGGATCGGGGTGCATCATACTGGCAATCAGGTGCTGCAATGAGCTCGAGTAGTGCCTACGTAATGTCCATTCATTAGTCCTCCACGACTACTACCACACGTACTATCAGGACTACTAGCACACATACTACTAGTACATACTATCCACACCTACCGAAACACTGTCAACTCCCCATTGCGAATCTTTTGCCATTCGTCCCCAGAGCTCGGCAGCCCCTCACCTCGGATCTACGTCGTCCATAATCAAATCTTTGCCTATTCCCATCATATAAAAGAATTGCTCCTACCAGCTCATACATCGTTGCCCCCAACGCAAAGATGTCTCCTTGACTCAAATGCATGCGACTGCCTTCGAGTAATTCCCTAAGCTCCCATTGTGAGCAATACTATATTCTCATACCATATATACATATATATATATATGTACCGCGACAGGTATCGGTTGTCTCCTTCCATGATCTCCATCGACCCATCGATGGGTACCACCGTTCCCAAATCGCCCAACTACAAGACTCAGGTTCGTTAAAATGTCACACGTTGACATGTCCATTGTCGTCCATAAGGTCACACGCTGAAATGTCCATTGCACCATCGAATCACACACATTTGAAACGTCCATTTCAAGTCGAGCACTGTGTGTACCTTGTACACGCCCGAGACGGGGTGCTTCAAAATGTTGTCCACCTTGACGTCCATGTGCACCACTTTCATCGCGTGCATGTCTCGCAGCGCCTGCGATACCGTTATCATCACACATTTCAATTGTCATGTCCTGGAAGACGACGACAACAATGTATGTCATACCGTGGCCAAATGCTTGAGCACTTTGCGAACTGTGCCTTCGCTGACTCCGTCGCAGCTGCTGCTGTCGCCCAGAAACGTCGCCAGCGAACAACTGTGCATAAACTCTAGCTGAATGTACAGCAAGTCGTCTTCGATCCAAGCGTCGTAGTATCGCACAATATGGTGGCTGCCACTCAACGCCACCAGTGCATGCACTTCCCGAAGGGCGCGTTGCCTAGCATAGTACATGCGTTCAATCAAACGGCCAAGGGGGGGGGGCATGGGTTATCGTGTGCAAGTGTACTTGTCGGACGCGCCGCGAAAGTGCCGCTTGCTCTTCTTGATGGCGTACGTCCATCCGTCGAAACGTTTGATGACCTTGAACACTTTTGAAAACGACCCTGACCCCAGCAGCTACGCAATAATATCATCAATACTGTCGAGAAACGCTGGAAAGGTATATATATATATATATATATATATAGCAGGAGGCATACCTCGCGCTCGATAAAGTCATCCAGGTATTTCGACGACGTGGACGCCCCTAGCCATACTAAGCACGATCACATGAGCAGAGAAGGATCAGATGAGAGGAATAAATCGTACATGGAGGTGACACACGGCGGTGCTGCTTCTTGCGCTTGCGGTCGGTGGCGGCGGGAGCGAACGGATTCAAGTTGATCTCGGTGAATGGCGTGGTCCTAGTAGAGACAGGTTCGTCGTCATCAACGGTTCCAGGAGGCGGATGTAGTACATGGATGCGGGCGCGACAGGTGGAGATGGGCCGCGAGGCGACTCGACCGCTACGTCATGCACACATGAGTCGTGATGGAGAAGGTTGGGCGGACGTACCAAAGCTGCCGGCGTCGCTGGTCGTCATGTCGTCGCGGTGGTCGACGAGGCCGCGACTTGTGGCGGCGGTGGGCGTGGCGGCGCCTGCGTCGAGGAACGGCATGCTTTGGAAGGAAGGAATCGTGCGTGGTCGCTTCTTGATGGGCGACGGAGTCCGGGGGTGCGACATGTGCACCACAGGCTGGTCTTGCGGCGTCGAGAAGTCGCAGAACGATTGCTGGCTGTACAGCTGCGAGAAGCTAGGCGGCGCAAAGTCTTCGCTCCACGGATGCTGCTGCTGGCTGTCGTCATCGCAGGCAGGTTCGCCATCGGGCTCGCTGCACTGGCTCGGTGAGAACGAGATGCGCTTGGGCATCGAGAAGTCGCGCTGCGAGTCGTCCTCAGCGTCGTCGTACGTAACGTGCATTTCATCATCTTGGTCTGGCGGAAGGTTCGCGACATCGTCTTCGATGTCCGAGTCTGTTTCGTCGACGAGTTCCAGTCGCTTGGAGATGGAGTCTGGCGTGCGGACGCTCTTGGCGAAGAAATCGTGCAGCGAGCGCTGCTTCATGCCCGCAGTCACCATGATGATGATGGCCTTCGGCACTGATGTTTTGAAAATGCAAATGCACATTCGGATGTGGGACAGAACCCCCATGATTTAATTATGTCTATTTCACTTGACATTTCTATTGAGAATTACCACGGTGAAATAGAACCCGACTGGCTCAGTTTGCATGTCGCATCGGACTGACATGTTGACCAATCACATTCCATCATTCAAACCACCGACCAATCCCATCTCGGATGCCCTTTCAACAGCCAATCAAACACCATATACCCTTTCCCGCCCTCGTCCACATCCGAATGTGTACTGTGTACAACTACAGTAACGTTGTTGTACAGTCTGGTCGAAGTTCCGACGACGCTGGCAGAAAACTCACCGGCATGGGAATCGCCCCCCTCGATGTGTGCTCAATCCATGAGGGTTGGCCGCTACTTTATAGCCTGCTGGTGTACAATACACTATAATAGCGTCTATTATTACTACTAGTAGTACTTACTACTCGAACCGGTACTACGAATAGGAGTACGGTATGATGGAATAATGGGTATCATCCGGATATATATTATCCGGATGTTCTACATTTTAACGTGAAACGTCGCCGCATAGATCTTGTGAGCGATGCGAACGACGTTGGCGTGGTCGGACAAGGTCCCGGACCGTAACGGGGCCAAAGTCGTGGTGCAGGACATCGCGTACCACCCCGATGGGACACAGCTGATCGCGGCGATTGGCAGTCGCGTGATGATCTACGATGCCTCGAACGGCACGTTGCTGCACTCCCTCAAAGGTTCGGCTATCACCATTCTCGCTGCCTTGTTCATGTCCATTCACACGTATAAATCCTAGGCCACAAGGACACAGTGTACACGGTCGACTATGCGCACGACGGCAAGCGCTTTGCGTCGGGGGGTGCGGACAACGTCGTGATCATCTGGACCGACAAGGCCGAAGGCATCCTCAAGTACACGCACAACGACAGCATCCAAAAAGTTGCGTACAACCCGCAGTCGCAGTGCTTGGCCAGCTGCACCGCGTCCGACTTTGGGTTGTGGTCGCCCGAGCAAAAGTCTGTCGCGAAACACAAGGTACCCAACCACAGTCGTTGCTGGCGACAGCGTTGGTCAACCACCACGCCGATAGGTCGTGTCCAAGATCCTCAGTGCTAGCTGGAGCCTCGATGGCGAGTACTTGGCCCTAGGGATGTTCAACGGACATATCTTGATCCGCGACAAGCATGGCGGCGAGAAGATCACGATCGAGCGGACGGCGCCGGTGTGGTCATTAAGCTGGAGCCCCGGGCGGGAGGAGCAGATGGACATCTTGGCCGTGGGGTGCTGGGACCGTACGCTGAGCTTTTACCAGTTCAACGGCACCCAATATGGCAAAGATCGCAAGCTTTCGTTCGACCCGTGCTGCATTAGTTTCTTCAAGTACATACTATATCCAGCCTTTTTCGAAGACACATGTATGAATGTATGTATTCACATGGACATTGTATGTTTGTAGCAAAGGCAAGTACCTTCTCGTGAGCGGCTCGAACCGCAAGGCCAGCTTGTACACGAAGGAAGGCATATTTCTGTCCGAGTAAGTATTGTGCTTTCGAGTGAAATTTCATGTTGTGGCGTGGTTTTGTCGTTGGGATTTAAATATCGATTTGATTGGCTACCTCAGATGCGTTCAATATTATTAGCCAATCAAAACCTTCTCAATGAAATTCAACCAATCAGATCGATTGTGGATCGGTTTGGTCATTCGCTCCCCAAATGTGTATCAAATCGACAATAGCGGAATGGATTACTACATTGTCTTGGGACGAGTAGTTGTATAGCGGTCGGTTACTACAGCACCAATGTAATGTTGGGGAGTAGCGTAGGGGTAGTGTGTACGGATATGATGGACTAACTGGTAAAATATATCATTTGAGGGCAGCATCTGCGATGTGCCGGCGTGGGTGTGGGCGGTGAAGGCGCGTCCGAGGACCCACTCGATCGCCATTGGGACAGACAACGGCACGGTCGCATCGTACAATTTAGTGTTTGGCACGGTCCACGGAATCTTCCAGGAACGGTATTCGTATCGGGAAAACATGACCGACGTGATTGTCCAGCACCTCATGACCGAGCAGGTACCCAAGGAGAAGCATGGGATATATATATATATATATATGTATATATTATATATTGCCCATCGAATGTGTCTGATTCGGATTCTTGTATGGATGGATGGATATATATATATCTGATTCCATTGGATTCATGACGACGTGACACGAAGCACCTGCGACCGTGTAATGAGACCACCCCGTTGTGTGGGACGAACATGATCGAGTCAGACACGCGGTGTGGATTCGTCTGATTCTGAGTCTGGACACGAAGTCGACGATATCCATCTGATTTCATCACGTCCATCTGATTCCATCGACTTCATGCCGAAATATGTCGATGGCACGACACGTCTGATTCCATCGTGTAGTATTCATTGTCGTGTATATGGATCTGATTCCATCGCCTCCGTCTGATTCCTTTTTGTCGGGTTCGACCCTCCAACCCTGATTCGGGACTCTAGAAAGTGCGCATCAAAACCCGCGATTTTGTCAAGAAGATCGCCGTGTACCGCGACCGCCTCGCGGTGCAACTGAGCGACCGCATCATCATCTACGAACTGTCCAACGAAAGCTCGTACGACATGCACTACCGCGTGCGCGACCGCATCCAGAAGGACCTGCCGTGCTCGTTGCTGGTCGTGGCGTCGCTGCACTTTATCCTGTGCCAGCAACGCAAGCTACAACAGTACAATTTTTCGGGCAAGAAGGAGCGCGAATGGGTACGGTCTGGCCCTGTGACAACGTGCGTGCGTGCGTTGTCTGTGACACTGTATATAGGTTTTGGAGTCGCCGATTCGATACATCACAGTCACGGGAGGCGCCAAGGGCAAGGAAGGGCTGCTCGTGGGCCTCAAAGACGGCTCGGTCCTCCAGTTGTTTATCGACAATCCGTTCCCGATTCCGTTGATCAAGCAGTCGAATGCGATCGTGTGCCTTGACATTTCTGTCAAGTACGTGAGATGACGTTGTCGATGACGTTATCGTTCGTCGGATGAGAGAGACATCTTTTGATTGGCAGATTGAATGTGGGATGAGATTTGATTGGCAGTTTGAATGACGGAATGTGTGTAGCCGCGAAAAATTAGCCGTTGTGGACGACACCAACACGTGTCTCGTGTACAACTTGGTACGTCGTGTCAGTCTCGTTGCTTACAAACGTGACGTGTGGATCGGACGTTGCTGAGCAATGCATCCACAGAATACACATGGAAATGTGATGTGATTTTATGCTGTAGCTGACCAAAGAGCTCTTGTACGAAGAAAAAGGGGCGAATTCTGTGGCGTGGAACACGGAATTTGACGACATGTTGTGCTTTGCGGGCCAAAACCAGCTCAAGATCAAGACGGGGAATTTTCCCGTCCATGCCCAACGCATGCAAGGGTTTGTCGTGGGGTTCACCGGTTCCAAGGTGTTTTGCCTCCACGCGTTGGCCGTCCAGGTACAAACAAAAGAGTCGTCATCACTTCCTGTTGCAGTATTCATTGGGAAAAATCTCCCCAGAATCATAATCAGCATTGAAGCATTGATTTGGGAAGAATCCCCAGAATCATCCTGATGGTAACCATTCGATTTATTTATCCAGGCGATGGACGTGCCACAGTCGGCGCCACTGTACCGCTACGTCGAACAAAAGGAATTTTCCCTGGCGTACCAAGTCGCGTGCTTGGGTGTGACCGAGAGCGACTGGCGCCTCTTGGCGTGGGAAGCGCTCAAGAACATGAACTTTGACATTGCAAGGAAGGGATTTATCCGGGTTCGGGACATTCGGTACATTGAACTGGTCAACACCGTCGAAGCCACGCGCAAGGGCCACGCCGTGGCGGCGTCGCCCGACGTCGAAAAGAAGAACAAGGCGATTCTGCAAGCGGAAATTTTAGCATATCAAGGTACTATATTAGTGCAGGAATTTTCCCACTGGACAAGTGGGGGCACTTGTATGGGGATCGTGGCTTGTTCCCACGGCATTTTCCCCATGTGTGGGACTTGAGTAGGCAAATTCCACATGGCGGCCAAGCTACTCGGGGATTGTGATGAAGCAACCAAGGCGATTCAACTGTTTAGCGATTTGCGCATGTGGGACGACGCGAAAAAGTACGCGGCAGCGTCCAAGTCTATCGATGTCAAGCAATTGGTTCAAGACCAGGCCAAGTGGGCCGAGGACGTGCACGACTGGCGCGCGGCCACGGAAATGTACCTCGCGTCTGGCAACGTTATCAAGGTACGGAGGGACTATTCCTAGGGAAAAATCCCAACAGAGGCACGATTGGGCCGGTGTTGACGTGGGATACTGTAGGCTGTGCACATCATGGGCGCGCGGGGCTGGTTCAACGACCTCATGGAGGTGGTCCAACGACCCGACTGCGACCCGCAAGTGCTGTCCGTGTGTGCCGAGTTTCTGCTCCAAGCGGGCAAGTTCAAGCAATGCCGCGACGTGTACTTGAAGGTTCGTACAGACGACGAAAATACCTCGTCACATATCTGTGTCGATGACGTGATGAAAATGAGATGGAACGTCCTGTTGGGCGACGTATTTCCTGACAAACTGTGATTGATAACGTCATATATATTATCCATTTATCCAAAATGTGGTTGACTTTTGTGCTGATTCTTTGCCTAATCTATCGATCGATGCATTGTATCTCATGTAGATTGGCGACTTTGATGCGTTGATGAAGATGCACTTGGCATGTCAAGACTGGGAAGAAGCCGTGCGCCTGGCCCAAAAGGTCCATCCACGACCATATATATATAAACTAGTTTTCTTATATATTTTATGGATATACAGCACAAGGACAAGATCAAAAACGTGGGCGAAGTGTACGTCCCGTACGCCGAGTGGCTGGCGGCGCAAGATCGATACGAAGATGCCCTTGCTGCGTACACGTCTGCCAAGCGACCAGACCAGTGCATGAACCTGCTGGAGCAGCTGATTTCGTCGGCGGTGGCGGAAACCAGGTTCAAAGATGCTTCGTACTACCACTGGCGACTATGCGACGAGCTCTTGGCGTGTGTGACCGCCGACCATCCAGACGGTATGTACCCTTCTTTAACTGTCGGATTGGGGGTTGAGTCAAGGTGTCGTATAACGAACGTTATATGGTTGTGTTATTTCTAAACTGGAGACAAGAATCCGCAGTAGGATATATTTAGCCAATCAGATTGCAGGAAACCACCACCAACGTCGAATTAGTGTGTGACTTCAATTAGTGTGATACCAATCATTATAGGATACTTTTTACATGCAAAATTCAGTACAAACAATCGATCGATGGATTTGGCGATTTTCAGCACAAAAGTCCAAATTTTGGTAAAAGGACAATATATTGTGCTTTCGAGTGAATTTTCGTGTTGTGGCGTGGTTTCTCGTTGGAATTTAAATCGATTTGATTGGCTACTTCAGATGAGCTCAAAATTATTAGCCAATCAAAACCTTCTCAATGAAATTCAACCAATTCGATCGATTGTAAATCGGTTTGGTCAACGAGATTCGATTGCACCCCCTCCCCAAATTTCTATCAAATCGACAATATGATCAAATCATTTTCGTTCATGTCATTCGAAGTACGGTTTTAGGATTTATGCATTTCGAATTGTATACGCTACGCCACATGGTTTTATATCGTGTTTTGGGTTTGTAAAAAGTTGCAATCGCATTCTATTTCATTTTTATTATCAAATTTTGTATTTATTCTTGTATAGTACCTTGGTATATATCTATCTATGATATAACATGCTTGCAGACTTGTGGTATGTGACGTCGTTGTATGAATACTTTGCAATTTCGAATCACCTTAGGATGGATGCTATTACATATATATATATATATATATATATGCAAATCTCATTCCCTTGACCGACTTGTATATATAGCCACAACTGACGCTGACAAGGCCAAGCTTCGATCTGCGCTGCACCACGAAAAGTGCGCCGACATCTACCACGCGTACAGCGTCATCTTTGCTTACACGGACGAGCCGTTCACGACACTTCTGCCCGAAACCCTCTTCCATGCAGCTCGATTCCTGCTCAACACTCTAAGCTCCAAGTCCAGTAGTATATCGCCAACAACAATAACAACTCCCCCGGGGGTGTCCGTTGCCCGGATTGTGTTTACGCTGGCGCAGCATGCGCAGCAGCTGGAAGCGTTCAAGCTGGCGCGGCAAATGTACGAGCGGCTGCACCAGATGCGCGTCCGTCCCGAGTGGCAGAATGTGGTGGATGTGACCAGTATGACACTACAGACCAAACCGTACTCGGATCGCGACGAGCTGCTGCCTGTTGACTACCGATCGTCCACCACGAACCCCCTCTTGAACCCGAACGGCACCGGGGATGTGTGCGTGCACTCTGGCCATCCATTTGTGCGATCGTTCGCATCGTTCGAGTCGCTTCCGCTGGTCGAGTTCCAGCCGACGCCAGACTTGACGGACGAAGAGGCTATTGCCCTCGTGGAGCTACTGCCGCCATCCGTTGGTAATGATGATGAACAAGAAGGTGGAGATCCGTGGAAGACGACGGACGCGGGCCACACGCAAAGCATGCGACTGGGAGATGACGCGGATGTCGGCGGCGGTAGTCATAACGACAAGGGAAAACCATTGAGTGGAGCCCTCCTATTTGAAAAGATCCTGAATCGCCAAGCGATTGCACGTGGCTCGGCGTACAAAGTCCTCCAAGTCGATGCCAAGACCCTGGCGTTGCTCAAACCGAACGAAGTGTTTGTCGTAAAGTACCCCACGAAAGCGTTGCGGTGCAAGTTCTACAAAAATATGATCCCAGACATCAAACTGCACTTGAGCCCGGCGTGCCGCAAGTTCTTTCACGAAGACGACTTTGAATTCGACTACCTCCGCGACGGCGGGTGCGTCTACTGCCGCCTGCCAGAGCTCGACCCCGTGCCATGATGATGATGATCATGGCGCAGTGGACAAGAGACTAACTATATCATGTATATAGAACGAACGGTGTATGAGAATCTGGTTACTTTTAGTTTCGCAACTACGAGTCATTTACCCGGTTCATGTGTGTACTGCTATTAATTAATACATGGAGTAATAGTAGAGTACTCGAGTATTATACTCCGGAGTATAACGTGTCCGACCATTGATGGGCCAACTTTTCTTCATTTTTAATCTCA